GCTGTAGTTTGACAGTCTGTTCGATGCTGCTCTAGGCAGATAAGGTTTTACATGTTGATGATTACGATGTGGCTTCATCCATAAGGCCTGTTGGAGGGATTTTGCTTCATGGCCCCAAAACAACAGCATGATTTTGGCAGAGCTGGGAGTGGAATAGAGGGAAAGGGTGGTGAGAAGCAAAGTTGGAAAGGATCTCTGCATGCATAGCTTAGTCACCTGCTCAACATCTGTACCATTACCTTGGTACCAAGTAATCCATTGTGTTAGATTCCCTGAAGACCCTGAAAGACACAGAAGCATGCCTGACCTAGATTACTCTCCATCTACCTGAATGTTCTGGCCCAACGAACTGCTAACTTGTAGCAACATGTCCTCATACGCCACCCAGGAGGAATCTCAGGCAGGATTTTATATCTCTGTAACCCAGCCAATGCTGACATTTTTGAAAAGAAGATAAAAATGTTAGAGTCTAGAAAGAGATTCATGATGTCCTAAAATGTATATGTCAACCTGCCCTCAGATGGCCCTTCTACATCATGTGACCATTACATCATTTAACTCTCACAAGGACCCAGACAGGACAGGTGTCATCCTCACTCTACAAGTGAACAAGCAATCGGGGTTGGTGCCTTGAGATGAATCACAGGACTAGATGGCTGAGCCATGGATTAAATCCACGCTCTGGGTCTTTGCCTTTCAATGACTGAATTGGACAAAACCGCTTCCCAACTAACCATTCTTAACATAGTCATTGAGTGAGATTTACCCTTCTGACTTTTTAGAGAAGGTATTTGATTTATATGTCATACTGGTGTGTTCCTATTGAGGATAATAAAACTTCAAAGAGAGTTGAAAAGGAGAAAATCTCCAAGTTTCCGTATAGACTTAGGCCTGCTAGGCTATGTGTGCTGTAATCCTAAGGACTGATAAGACTCAAAATTCATATTGCTTTGTTTTGGTTTCTGAAGAAATAGAGACTAAACCTCATCAAACACTTCCCAAATAAGATATGAGTTTATTGGTCATCTGTCACCTAAAAGTATCTTCGTGATTGTGTTTCATCTTTGTACTTAAATTTGGGGAGAAAAATGTTGGTACTTTTCATTTTTTCCCCAAGAAAATTTATTTGTAGCATCTAATTAGCAAAAGAATGAGAGTCTCTGGTTTAAATGTAATAGTATATAATCATAGGGCTAACAAGTCTTCAAGGTTGTCTGGCTCTGAGCGGGGCCCTCTCTGTGCACTCCAGGCTCAGGCTCTCTCCTTCCCAGGGCACCCTGTTCTATCCAGGATTTTTCTGCTTGTAAGGACAGTCATCTGACCTCCATTTGCTACATAATGTCACAGCTCTATTACTGCTTAGCATTCCATTATATGGATAAAATTTCCCCATAACATTTTCTTGTTCATCCTGATTCTCACCTCTGTCAGCAAACACCAGGTCTTGGTCCTGCTCTATATGTCATTCTTTCTGATCACGAGCATTGCATGGGACTTAGTATATTCACTTTCCATTTCATCCTGTTGATTTCCACACAACATTCCAACCCATAGAGGTAATGTCGAACTTCCTTCAGTCACTGATGTTAGTAGTTGTGCCATCCAGCTGTCAGGCTTGTTTGTATTTTAGTACACATGGCACAGAAACCTGGCAGGTTATAGATGATGGCAGCTGATTGGGAGTGGATGGTACAGACTACTGCCACATGCCTCAACGGCAAGGGTAGCACACTTCCTCTGTCAAGGGGCAGATGGTAAATATGTTAGACTTTGCAGGCCAAGCGCTATGGGTTGCGACTACTCAACTGAATTCTGCCTTTGTAAAAGCAGCTGCCGTCAACAGGTAAGCAAGTGAGCATGACTGCATTCTAGCGAAACTTTATTTATGGGCGCTGAGATCGGAACATTACGTGTCATGAAATATTCTTTTAAATCCCTCACCCCCCCAACCATTTCAAAATGTGAAAACCATTCTTAGCTGCTAGGCTGTATAAAAGCAGGTGGTAGGCCAGATTGGGCCTACGGTGTAGCTTGCCAACCCCTGTCCTGGGTTGTTGAGGGAAGCTGGGAGGGAAATGCCCTGGAATTGGCAAAGAGGAGTATGTGGGGTCTGAGAGAAGAACCCACCATGCTATGGAGAGGTCTGTAGAGAACAGCATCCTTAAGTTCAGGGTTAGAACAAGGAGTGAAGAGATCCTGGCTATAGGGGATTTGGCTGATGGTTGCTCATGAGTTTCCACAGCACAGTGGAATATTGAGGTAGGTACTATTATTATCTCCATGTGACAGGAGGGGAAACTGAGGCATGAAGAGCTGAAGTGTCTTGTCCAGAATCCCACAGCTAATATACGATGGAGCTGGCTTTAGAGTTCAGGAGGTCTGGCTTCGTAGTTCCCATCCTTCACGATTTTATTAAACAATCCCCTCTTTCCCCCTGTGAATCTGTAGGTATAAAACAAATTTACTGTGTACTTGGCATTAGTAATTCCTAAATGCATGTTGCCATCTTTTTATATTATTAAGTTTAGATTTTTCATGTCAGTACGTTAAAAAAAACATTGTTTCGTGTTCCATTGTATGGAAATACCTTCATTCATTTTGCTATGGCTTGATTCCCGTTTTTCTGTAGTACCAAACTTGCTGTGACACACACACACACACACACACACACACACACACACACACACGTTTGTGCACATGTTAGCATTCTTTCTTGAGAGAATTTTACAAGTAGAATTCTAGATCAAGGACTCAGACATTTTAAATATTGAAATCACCACGTTGCTCTCTGTAACAGCTAATCCAGTTTGCCCTCCCACCATCCGCATGTGACCACTCCCCACACCATCACCAGCACTGGATGGTACAAGTTTTCGGAAGTTTTGTGATTCTGAAAAGTGCAGTGTGCCTTGGCATTGCC